CCTTCTCGGCTGACTCTGTATGGCTACAAGTGTTTTTGTTGTGCTGCATCTCTCTCTCTCCCCTGCACTGCGCTCTACCGGGGCGGAGTCATGACGGCTCCAGCCCCTGGCTCGGACACCTGCAAGCAATCATCTCACTCACTTCTTAAGGCGGCTGCGGAGAGTGCTTCCTTGCTGGATTATTGTGTAACACTCGTCAGTGTCATCACCTATCTGAGCCTTTTTCTGAGTTTCTGTCGTGCCACTACTTACCTGCCTTTCCTCTCTGTGCCAGGATTCTCGCCAGCCTGAGGACCGCCGTTGGTGAGCTAAAGCCGGAGTCCGAGCTACCCGAGCTTCAGTGGATTTTGTACATAGCCCTCTTCTTCCCGTGTCTGTGCTTCCCGGAGACCCTCTTCCTGTGCCCCCTCACCTGTATATATTCGCACCTGGTGTCTGTGTGTGTAAATAAAACGTGAACTTTAGTGACGGTCTGACTCCGAGTCCCTCCTGAGCCTGACATAAACTACAAATTTACCCTAAATTACTAAAATATCGATATTTTAATGTGAGAATCGATTCTAGAACATAAATGAATGGTATTGGAGGAATTGATATTTCAGGATCGATCCTCACATCACTAGTTGTAGCTTAAATGGAACTTGTCTACACACACTGTCCACCTCATCGCCAAGCTGTCTTAAAACAGGGAAAAGTGTGACACATAATGGAGAAGGTTCACCTTCAAATTAAAAGTTATGGCTCAGAGCTGCATATGTTTCAAAAGGGGTAAATTTTACTTTGAGGTCAAACCTTCTCCATGTCTATATAAAGCTATACACCAAAAACCTCCTACCTTTTCTGGAACAGAGTTCATTCACTGATGACCAGAAACTTCCAAGAACAATTGCCAACCAATCAGAGAGTACACATCTTTTCATAACAACTGGTACTTGTATCACCTTTAATATGGCAGACAACTCTTGCCCAAAGTGCAAATGATGTCTCATGAGCAGTGTTGGGAAGGTTACTTTTAAAATGTATTCCACTACAGATTACAGAATACATGCCCCAAAATGTATTTTGCAACGTATTCCGTTACGTTACTCAATGAGAGTAACGTATTCTGAATGCTCTGGAATACTGAATATAAGAGGAAATATTCATTTAATGTATAATTGTGCACAAAACACACGGGGACTGAAATATGATCAGATTGGCCAACCGCATTGTGAGGTAATCTGGCTCCCACTGTTATTGCATCTCAGTGTGTGTAAATTAAATTTGTGTGCGACCACCTTCTAAAGAAGAAACATCACTCCCACAACATGAATAGACATCTAAAGCTGCTTCTTCCTGCTTTCTCAAAGAAACCCCACAAAAGCTTAAGGCTGTAGGAGTAATGTTGACTCAGGAATGGAGAAAAATAAAGCCCATAAAGCAGCATTTCCCTTGATGTGGGAAGTTCTATGTTTGGATAATGAGATCAGATCAAAACGTGAGAGCAATCAAGATAACAATAAAGTATTTTAATAGCAGGTGTAAATGGCTGGGTATATATGGTGCGATTTGGGGCTGTCATAGAGAAAAGATTTATGTTGATATCTTCAGTTATTGATGGTCCTACATTGTACAGTGAGAGAGGATCAAAGTAAGCTGTTGGAATAGTCTTGCAACCAAAGACAGCTTGACAGCACTGGAAACTTACGATGATCTTACGTGACTGCTGCTACAACCTAAATCTGCTAACCAACCAACAGGATTGCCGCGCTGAATTGAACCAAAGGACAGATTAATTTGACACGAGGACTTGTGCAAAAAACAAAACAAACAGATGGAAGTAAAACGTGCAAAGCAAAGCGCCTATGATTCCAACAAAGAAGAAAGTTAAGTCGAGCTTTGGCAACAGAAGCTCGTTTGCAATGATGCGTCTTCCATCTGTTATCATGACCACGCCAAAGAAGTCATAGCATGGAAACAAGAAGTCAGGGACGTGCAGCCTTATGATTCAGGCATTTTTTATCACCTAGCCTACATAGAAGAAATTTAATGTAGTACCCGACGTTTTTTGATCTATGTGGCTGGCCTTCAGTAAATTTATAAAATTGCTGAAATATCTGTCTAAAGACACCTTTAGACATTGGCACACCATTTAGCACAATGGAATGAGCAAACTTTGAACACCTAATCACATATTAACATGTATAAGTTACATGAAGTGGTTTTAACATCCAACATTATTTCGCATTACAGAATAAACAGCCTTTCATTATGTCATATGTAAGCCACAAAGACAAAATGTAATGCTCTTGTTATTTTTTTAAGCAACAAGAAAAAATTGAGTGCCCTTGGTTTCAGGTTTGAGAAACCAAGTCCATCTAGCAAGTGTCCACTGAACTCCTCACAAGCTGGCTATAATGAGAACAATAACATACATTCAGAGTTCAAAACCATCAACCTAAAATACCTTCTACACAGCTTAAAGGCTTGTGTACATATGATGCATTTTCTGTGCCTGCTCTGTTTCCCATCCTAAATCAAATGGAAACCCCACAGCTCTTCTGCACAATAACAGGCTTCAGCACTCAGCAGTAAATTAGCCACTCCACAATGTTCAGGGAGCACGGCATCCTAATGAAGCATTCCATTTTCTCATTACTCCTCACGTTTTCCCCCCGTTGTAGAAATCAGGGCAAAATGAGGAGAGAAGTAACAAAGAGAATGGAGGAAAAAAGACAGCAGTGAACTATACTAAGGGTGTAAACGGGTTTCACATTTACATTCTCAAAGTGAGTCAAAAGTCATTAGACAAATCATATCAAGTGCTCGTTTTTTTCCTCTGAGGTAAAGAGTGGTAAAGTAACACTGAGGCGTCGTATGGCCAAATGGATCTGTGGGTTGGAAGACTTTTCCTGGAATCCAATTCTGTGATTCAGTGTGGGAATGTTGGATACCTTTTTATTGCTCTTCTAGAAAAATAATTTAGTTGCCTAATAGCTTTTGATGCTTTTGGTGTTCTTTCCCTAGTCCCCCCCCCATACTTTCCCTTCATCCACAAATCCTTTTGTAACTCTGACTTCACCTTTCCTGGAATGTCAAAGCCTCCACCCCACTTTCCGTCACTGTTCTCTGTTTGTACTTGATACTGAGAGGGATTCCCACACCTGACCTCAAATTGGCTTCACTGTAGGATCTTTACTATTCCCATTCCATGGTCTTACATACCCCTTGGCAATTGGCAAATTATCTTTTTGCAAGTCTATAAAATGGTAGCGAGAACTGAGATAGCTTCATCGGGAGATTAGGACATATTGTGCAACGCTAAGGAAAAACTGGGCTGATATGGTGCTCCCTTACACCTAATTTTAGGAGAAACACCTCAACTTAAATCCTTATTCAAACAATCATCCACTTACATCATCTGATTACTCTGTTTTTCTGCTATAATATTATTCCTCTAAAAGATCAGATTAGGTAGAGCACCCAGAGAAAACAAGGAAGAACTTGTGTTTGGAGTAGTGCAAAAAAAAATAAATAAATCAAGGGTAAGTAAGAGTGCTGTGAATGTTTTTAAACTTTCACAGATATAGAGTTCAATGTGTTGGCAATTACTATGTTTTCACTGTGACAAAGCAAGATTATTTTTTTGGGGAAACCGTTGCCAACTGCTTTTTTTTTTCCTCCATGTGCTGGAACCATTCCACAAACATATTGCCACCACAGATATCATGAAACAACATTTTGATTGGGCAATCAAAACATCCCCACATGTGGCTGTTTGTAAAAACAAATGTGGCATTTCTTTGTATTCGGTCTGAATTTAATTTACAAGCATGGGATTGAATCCAGTAGTTTTCCTCAGGCCCATGGGATGTGTTCAGGATACTTCTAGGAACTGAGGCTCGATGACTGTTTAAGCAACTCCAGATCTGCCTGAGTGATAATTCTCACCATGCAGTGGGCTGTAAGTTGTTACAAGCCACATATTTTGATTGCATTTCATTAGATTGAGAGTTGAAGCTGACCCTGACCTGCTCTGTGGCCAGCAACTTAGCAAGACTAGCTGCCAGACTGTAAAAGGCCAGGTTAGCATCTGAGTTGAGTGTATATTTATACATATACCTACCTACCTACCTACCTACCTGTGTTCAGTGAATACCTCAGGCAGCAGAAAAACAGAAAGGAGGAAGAGGAGGAACCATCACGAAAGGACAGTCCCCTTCACAGTATGTACCACCGGCAGGGTGGTACATAGCAGGGTGTAAGATGCTAGCAGGCAGGGCATACATGGAAGGCCATAACCAAGTGGCCAGCATAGTATACAGAAACATCTGTGTCGGGTATGGCCTGGAAAACCCGAGGTCAAAATGGGAGATGCCTCCAAGGGTGATGGAGAATGACCTGTTACGGTTCGGTGTTGTCAGTGTTTTGTTTTTTGCGTGACTGTCATGTATTTCCTGCTTTACTTTGAAAGTCTGTGTTATCTTAGTGTGTTCAGTTTATGTTTCCTTGTCTCGTCAGGTCTAATTTGCCCCAGCTGTGTTTCCCTCCTGTGGTCCATTCCCTAATTGCTCCTTCTATGTATTTAAGCCTTGTGTTTCGGTATGTCATGGTCGCGATCTCTCCCCGTGTTGTAAATAGCTGTAAATGAGATTTGTCAATACTTTCGTTATGAGACACTTTCGTTTTGGGATTTTGGTGGAGAGCTTTAGTGGTGTTTTTTCGTGTGTTTTTCTTCTCCTCTTCTGTGAATCGGCCAATCTGTAACACCAATAGGAAGACGTGTGGTCCTGGAGCCAGAAGACTGACACATTTCACCATCTCCTCCTGAACTTCTTCATGTGACAGAGTTGTGTCAAACAGACCAGGAGTGTCGACCACAACAACAGGACGACCGTCCACTTCACCCTGTTCTTTCTGACAACACTTGGTGACTGATTCTTGACTCGACTTGGCTTTAAACTCTCTCCTTCCTAGAATGGTGTTTCCTGAAGAGCTCTTTCCACTTCCAGTCTTCCCAATCAGCACAATCCTGAGAAGGTTTGAGTCCTGCTTCTCTTCATCTCTTCTCTGCTCTTTTCCAGCTTTTCATCAATCCTTTTCTTTTCCTCTTTTTCTGACTGAATTTGTTTGTCTGATATTTCAAGTTGCATTTTAAAATCCTGCCTACGTCTTTCTTCCTCCTCTTCCCGTTTCCTGTTTTCTTTTTCTCTCACTTCCTGTTCTTTCTTTCTCTCTTCGCGCTCCTTCTTTAGATATTCCTCCATCTCCTTCAGTTTCTGGTCTTTTTTCTGCTCTATTTTTTCTTTCTCTTCTTTCAGTCGTTTTTCCTCCTCCTTTCGTCTCTGTTCATCTTCTTGTTTTCGTTTCTCTCTTTCTTCTCTTTGTTGTTTCTCCCACTCCTCGCTTCTCTGTCTTATCTCTTCTCTGGTCTCTTCCAGCTTCCTATCCACACTTTTCTTTTCCTCTTTTTCTGACTGAATTTGTTTGTCCAACATTTCAAGTTACATTTTAAAATCCTGCCTACGTCTGTCTTCCTCTTCTTCCCGTTTCCTGTTCTCTTTTTCTCTCACTTCCTGTTCTTTCTTCCTCTCCTCACGCTCCTTATTTATATTTTCCTCCATCTCCTTCAGTTTCTGGTCTCTTTCCTGCTGTATTTTTTCTTTCTCTTCTTCCAATCTTTTTTTGATGCCTTCCTTTTCTTCCTCATGTTTTCTTTCTAGCTCCTCTCTCTCTCTCTTTATCTCTTCTTCCTTCTCCTTCAGGATTCTCTCCATTTCCTTCTTTATCGCTGCTTCAGCTTCTCCCAGCATCTCATTGGTGAAGCAGTTTCCTCCATTGTCCTTCACCATGGTGTCAATCTTTGTTATCAGCTCGCTGACTTGTTGGCGGTTTTGTGTTTCAGAGTTTTCAAACACATGGTATCTCTCCATTTCCTTCTTTATCGCTGCTTCAGCTTCTCCCAGCATCTCATTGGTGAAGCAGTTTCCTCCATTGTCCTTCACCATGGTGTCAATCTTTGTTATCAGCTCACTGACTTGTTGGCGGTTTTGTGTTTCAGAGTTTTCAAACACATGGTATCCTCCACAGTCAGAGATCAGCTTCTTAAACGAATCATCACATCCGCTTTCAATATATTCTTCGATAGACTGCTCATCATTTTTTAGTTTATCTCCTCCAGTTAAAAGAATGATGGTGAACTTTCCAGAACTTTTCCCAAAACCTTCCTTGATTAAATTAAGTGGAGGAGAAGTATAAAGATCAGGCCAGAAGAGAAGCTTGTGGAGCCTTCATCAGCTTCGTCTGCCTTCGCTTCAGCCATCCGCCTTCGCTGGAGGGTCCGAAGGACCACTCCAGCCTTCATCCGCCTCTGCTGGAGGGTCCGGGGGACCGCACCAGCCTTCGTCGTCTGCTGGAGGGTCCATGGGACCGCTCCAGCCTCCATCAGCTTCGTCTGCCTTCATCCGCCTTCGCTGGGGGGGAGGGTCCGTGGGACCGCCCAGCCTTTGTCGTCGCTGGAGGGTCCGTGGGACCGCTCCAGCCTTCATCCGCCTTCGCTGGAGGGTCCGAGGGACCGCTCCAGCCTTCGTCGTCTGCTGGAGGGTCAGTGGGACCGCTCCAGCCTTCATCAGCTTCGTCTGCCTTCGCTTCAGCCATCTGTCTCCGCTGGAGGGTCCGAGGGACCGCTCCAGCCTTCATCCGCCTTCGCTGGAGGGTCCGAGGGGCCGCTCCAGCCTTCGTCGTCTGCTGGAGGGTCCGTGGGACCGCTCCAGCCTTCATCGGCTTCGTCTGTCTGGATCAAACTTTTCACTTGGGGTTACATGTTTGATTTTTGGGTGGGGGGAAATGTTACGGTTCGGTGTTGTCAGTGTTTTGTTTTTTGCGTGACTGTCATGTATTTCCTGCTTTACTTTGAAAGTCTGTGTTATCTTAGTGTGTTCAGTTTATGTTTCCTTGTCTCGTCAGGTCTAATTTGCCCCAGCTGTGTTTCCCTCCTGTGGTCCATTCCCTAATTGCTCCTTCTATGTATTTAAGCCTTGTGTTTCGGTATGTCATGGTCGCGATCTCCCCCCGTGTTGTAAATAGCTGTAAATGAGATTTGTCAATACTTTCGTTATGAGACACTTTCGTTTTGGGATTTTGGTGGAGAGCTTTAGTGGTGTTTTTTCGTGTGTTTTTCCCTTATTTTTATTTTCCTGCGTTGCACTCCGGTTGCCTAGGCCGGGGTGTAACAGACCAAGCTAAGATCCTCTGGGACTTCCAGATACAGACAGACAAAATGGTGGTGGCTAACTAACCGGACATAGTGGTGGTAGACAAACAGAAGAAGACGGCCGTAGTGACAGATGTAGCGGTTCCCAATGACAGCAACATCAAAAAGTAATGAGATGAGATAGATGAGATGAGATAGCCTTTATTTGTCAGTTGCAGGTCTTTTGCCCACAACCGAGATGACAGACCTTGCCGACCGTACATACAATACAAACATCAAAAAGAAGGAACGTAAGAAGCTCGAGAAGTAGCAAGGGCTCAGAGAAGAGCTCAAGAAAATGTGGAGGGTGAAGGTAACAGTGGTAATCGGAGCACTAGGTGCTAGTGGCTAGTGTGGATACATATATATACATATACCACACTACATACTACATACTACATACATACATACATACATACATACTGCATATATATACACAGGTACAGGTGGGTAACAGGTATCTCCGAAAACGTAAGAGCACTTTTGCAAATATGTGATGTCTCGATAAATCGAGCAGACATTTGGAGTTTACACAGCTACATTCTCGCCTGAAAATATCTTAAAAGTTTATTTTGTGACCCAGAAAGAGTAATATTTCAAACTCCGCCACTCTGTGTTCCTCCGCCACTGCCTCGTTTTTTTGGATGAAATGGATTCTGGTATATTGCATTGCGTCATTTTGAGCTGATTGGAGACCAAAACAGCCAATCAGATTTTTTGGCATCCAAGTCTGTGATTGGCTGGTTTTGTGGCACAAATATAACTGTGTACAGAAAGAGTTGAATGCGCACGGGCAGAAATGTTGAGAGCGCAAACAACACAAGCGCAAATGCAAAAACTGTGCGAGAGGGGCTGCTATTGTGTGTGTGTGTGTGTGTGTGTATGGATAATAGCAAACACTGAAATACATTTTTTGCACGCAGCAATGAATTTTGTTCACTCAAATTTAGCTTTTCTTCGCTCAAAATAAATTTATCCTCAAAATGCAACACTTACACCTGCAAAGTTTTTTCTACATAAGCTCAATTTTTTTTTTTTACGTGAGCTCAGAATAGTGGCACAAAAACAACGCCATACAGTCCTATGAACAGCTAAGATACCGCACAAGACCCTCCAGCTTCCAGGCCTCCAGGCCCGCAGGCGCAAGCGGGGAATTTCTTTTTTTTTTTTTTTTTGTACACACACACACACACACACACACACACACACACACACACACACACACACACACACATACAGTGGAACCCCAACTTACGAAATTAATTCGTTATATATATATATATATATATATATATACACACACATACACACACACGTATATGTATATTTGCTGTTGAAAATAATATGGTCTCTTCACTGAGATGAATCTATAGTATAAAAGATAATTACAGCTATTGTGACATTGCCCATTGCTTCGTAAAGCCCTGTTGAGAAGTCATCAGCCAATGAGCATCCCCTGGATAATTATCCTTTCTGGCTCCAATAATGACCATAAATTCCAAAGTAGAATCATGCTCCTATTCAGTATGTCCAGAAACTAACACTTAAACCCATGAGGTCATCAGGAAAGTGTTCACAGAGAACAGGAGTTAAAGGCCCCTTTCCTATCCTAGATGTGTGTATACACATAGAAGTGTTTTTACAACCAGACATGAGGCTCCATTATCTTCATTAATGTGAATGCAGGTTTAAAGCAGTCTCATGTTGGCTTCATTTAAAAACAAAAACAAAAAAACAAACAAACCTGAAACTATATTTGTGTTTTACACTGTTCAGAGGTGAGTCCTAATTTATTTGAGTTATTTTAGTAACCAGTGGCATTAAAGAGTGTTAAAGATGTTAAAATAAGGGCCCTAATTTTGTCAGTTTGAGAACACAAAACCCTGTGGAAGATTACTGCTTGAACACTAGCATTACTATTGCTACTTCAATTCCTACTTGTACTTATAGAAGAATAAACAATTCAAAGTAATATTGAAGAAGAAATACTGTTGCTAAAAGCCAAACCCCCCCAAAACGATTGGGTCTATGCTGCGACGGCAACAAAACTGATATCTTTCCCCAAAACATATGCATAGCCAAAATGCAATTTATCTAACCCAACATGCAACGATCAGATCTGTCAAAACTCAGAAATGATTATTCATTTTAGCAAACACCTTACATCACACCTCATTTTATGAGCAGACCTAATTTATTTGCTCGGGGAAAAAGACCCATTAACATGAAATGACCCACAGCCATCTGCCTGTGATTACAGCTTGGGAGAAACACTACAACAATGGTTGCTTGGGCATGGCAAGAAAGAAGGGAAGAGCCCAGCAATGATCCAGCACAACAATTACTGGAGACCCAAATCCCTCAAGTCAGCTGTTTGTAGAAGCGGAAAAAAAAAAAAACAGGCAAACCAGAGGCTGTGAGGGATCCAGAATGCAACTGAAGCCAACGAACACACTCCCAATCAGATCAGCTCCATGTGTGGTAGGCACTAACCAAAGCCATTTCTATACATATATTCAATCAAGGCCAGATTAAAGGGGAAAAAGGCTCCCAGAACAGCCAATTATCTGATTTTACAGTGCCAAGTGTTTCGAATCCAAAATCACCAATAGGTCTTTTGATGAGTCACATAAGTTTGATATTTGAACCATTCAGTGACCGCTGTACTTTATAGGGATTTTTCATACTGTAAGAGGCCGTTCCCATCCTGATGGAAATGTTTTATTACAGGATAAAGATCGCACACAAAAATGTTTCATTGATTGACATGAAACTCCAAACCATCCAAACAAACAATGACATATCCACCCAATAAATCCTGGGATCAAACATTAATATTATTAATATTTTTAAATGTTTTAACTTGTTTTTATGTTGCTGAAATTTCTGAAAAAGAACCATTTTCCCCATAACAACTTTGTAAAAAAATATATAGTTTTGATACCACATCCAATGGGTAAGGTGGAGCATCTTGGCAAAATTGATGGAATACATCAAATTTACAGGGCAGGTATAGATTAATAATTCTGCAGTAAGATATTATTGTGCACAACACATCACCACAAGTCTTTTCATCAGCATCATAGTTTATTTATATAGCACTTTAAAAACACACAAGGCTGACCAAAGTGCTGAACAACAGAAATATAAGAGATACAATAAGAATAATAAATATGATAAAATAATAACTATAGTAATAACAAAAAAATACGAGTAAATAAAAGTCAGTTACCCACTGAGTCAAAGGCCAGCGAATAAAAATACCTTTTTAATCTGGATTTAAAAACCAGCATTGATGTCGACTGCCTAATGTGAAGAGGAAGATTATTCCAAAGTTTTGGAGCCACAATAGAGAGCGCTCTGTCTCCTCTCAGTTTCAGCCGTGATTTGGGGACTACCTCAGCAAATCGGACAAATATACAGGTGCCAGACCATTTAAGTATTTAAAAACCAATAAAAGGACTTTAAAATGAATCCTAAATTCAATTGGAAGCCAGTGTAGGGAGGCCAGAACCAGAGTAATGTGCTCAAATTTCCTTCTACGAGTTAAAAACCATGCCGCAGCATTTTGTACTAGTTGCAGGCGTGTCAGAGTGCCCAGTCCAACCCCTATTAAAAGGGAGTTGCAATAATCCAAGCGTGAGGTTATACAAGCGTGGATAACAGTTTCCAAATCACGCCTTGAAAGAAAGGTTTGACCTTCGACAGACGAATGATGATTTAAGCACCCTATTCGCATGGCCATCAAAAGTAAGTGCAGAGTCAATTTTTACCCCAAGATTGGTAATCGA